ACTTATTCTCCCATGTTAAAAGTTAATTTAATTTTTATCATTTCTCAATTTTTTGAATGTTTTTTCTAAAATTTTAGATTTATTCCAGAATTTTATTATTAGCTCTAAGTCGAAAGAAGGTTTTTAGGGAAAGTCAAAACTACATTTGAAATACATTAGTTTGAGTAGTTAGCGTTTGATCCCACTGCTCTTTCGATTCTTTCCGCTGTTGTGGCTTGAACTTATATACAGAAACTTTAAATACTGATTAAATATCGTTTTATTTGTTTTTTGTTGTTTTCAGAATGGCAACAAAAAGATTATTCAATTTTTGTTGTTCTTGGAATGGCAACAAAAGATTATTAATGATATTGTTCTAAAGAGTAGTTTACATTTTGCTAAAAACGAAATAAAGATTATTTATAATCTTTATTTCGTTTCGTGGATTGATGTTATTTGATGAAACAAAAGTTGTAAAAATAAAGATTAATTTGGAGTCACAGCCAATACCGCTATTCGCTCCACCCTTGCTAACCGCTCTTGGTTCATTCCTCGTTCTCGATGTTTTTCATTTAGGTTATTGTTAGTGAGTGATGAGTTATGAAAAAGAATTCATTCAGTTCAGTGAGTGAAAAGAGTTGTTTTGTCCATCTTTAGTTATTTTAAAATTCATAAATATATCCTGAATAGAATAAAAATTTAAACGAAACTAAATTTTAATTAAGTATCATTACACTTAGTAGACTAAAATGCGCAGAACTGACTTAATATTCACATAGATGCTGATCAGGAATGAGAAGCAACCTTCAAATCTTTCGAGCAGAAATATGTTCAATGCTAAATTTAAAAAGAATTTTGGGATTTGTGCATTTGTTCTGTTACTAGGTGAAGAATTTCGTAAAACTTTAGAAAATTTAAACACAATTGCTTATAAAAATATTTACTTTTGAAAAATATTATTTTTTAAATTAAAAATAGTTTTACTCTTTGCACGTCTTCAGTTTCAGATTTACGAAGCGAACTATACTAAGATTTTTGGGTTCTCCCATCTTAAGACATGAGATGTGGTTATCATTTTTTTAAAAAATTAATTAATTATTTGACAGTCCCTTAAAACGCAGAGTCTTCCTGATGACTTCCGTGACTACATAAAAATGTCTCTGGATGTCGCTAGTTGTAATAAAAGATTTTGCTTTAAATTTTAACGCCCCTAAGAAAAAGTTCTTGTTTCTACTATACGAACTTTGAATAATGGCAAACAAAAAATTGTTGCCATTTCACTGTTGAAAGTATCTTTTGCAAGCGCGAGTTATCTGGGAAAAAGTACCAAAATATTCACAACTGCGGTTTGAATAAATAATTAAGTCTTTCTTAATTAAATAAACTCAGAAGTAACGCAGCATTAGTTTATGATGGAAACATATCATAGTAAGTTTATTTTTCCAGTCTTTTGGCGGTGCTATTTTTATACAGCCTATTTTAAATGTATTTTAAATATATGATCTGTATCTCGAATTGCTAAGGATTTATTCTTAAACTAGTAGGCCTATCGTAACTATTTCAGTTAAAATTGTTTCAAGTGTTAAAATGAAATCTGAAAAAAATCAGATCGCATTTGTTGTAATAGGCATGACTCTTCAACTTATAATTTTTAATGATAAACTCTTATCGAGGTCTATAATCTCCATATCGCTTTTCTGCTTTCGTTCACTAATTTCAGAAAAACCAGAGTTTTGATAAAGGCATCTTTTATAAAATGGAATATTATGTTTCTTTTTTTAAAGTTTATAAGAGAAGGAAAAATATAAAAATAGCTTAAATTAATTTTATGTTTTCCTAAGCTGTGAATATTAATTTAAGGGTTTTGCAAGAGTAAAGATGGCTGAAATACGCAGTTTTAGCACGACGTAAAAAGTAAACACTGAAATTAAATGTTTTTCTAGCCAACAGAGGGCGCTACATGACTTGATTTTTATTTCGATTTTATTTTTTGAAGAAGCTTATTTATTTCTAATTGGCTTTTAATCCGCCGAATTAAAAACTCTCCACAGTATTAAATTATTTTTAAATTATTTTTTTAATCTAAAGACTTTCAGTAATTCTTGAAGAGCATATTACAATGAGAGGATGTTATAATAAATTGCTCCGAACTGCAATTATATTGAGTTCTAAAATATGATTGCTACTGCTTATCCAAAAATGTATGGATTAATAAATGTTTCGTAAACAAACAAACAAACCACACACACACACACACAAAAAAAAAATAAATAAATAAATAAATAAATAAATAAAATAATAAAAAAGAGAGAGAGAGATTTAAAATTAAGATTTTGGCAAATCTTATTTTAAATTAACTTTATCAAACAGCAAAGAAAAATGTATGCTTGGTTATTAGAATTAGAGCTTGTAAGGTATTTATTTTTAGGCACATTTATTTGTTATCCCAATAAGCTGACATCCAGCGTTGAATTACTTCTTCTGATCGAGATGGTTTAAAAACATATTAAACTACAGCTTTGGAGTTTATAAACTATAGCGCTAAAGCACTAAGATCAAATTAAACAATAGCACTCCTGCCTCCTGAACATAAGTGACTCTCAGTTTTGTTATGAGAAATGAGATGTTATTAAAGCACAAAAATGTACATATTTCCACATTAAGACATATATATATATATATACAGAGGGAATTTAAACATTTTTAGAACGATTTTGAGGCCGTTTAATTAATGATTAAAGAGTATTTTTAAATGTTCGATTTGACAGCCTTTTCTCTGGATTATAAGTCGGCATGGTGATTTTCATTCCTCTTCCACTACTTTCTAGTGTTGATCACTTGTGGTGGGTTTGCTCTGAGAAAGAGCTCTTTTCAAGAAACCAATAACACAACAGTCCATATGTGAACTGTTAGGGACTTTGCAGAAATACATTCAGAAGGTATATACGAAATACCTCTATCAGACTTAATTTTTTCGAGGAATGTTGTGGTACTTTTCGAAATATGGTTTGTTGCTTTGCCTTGATGAAGTTTCACTCTTTGAAAGTCACGTCATTAGGATAAAGAAATTTCTTCTGTAAATGTTTGACATAAAACTTTCCTTTGATAGTACGTTGAACTGATTTTCCACATTTATTTTCAATTTCAATTTCAATTGTAAGAGATTCCTGCGACAATCATAAACTCCGTCCTGAAATTTTCTTTACATTGATGGAACCAAGTTTGTACATTTTTCTCTTTGTTTCCAAAACTAAAATCGTTATTTTTTTTTCAAGCAGTCATTTAGGTAAATCCATGCTTCATGAAAGATGTACTCATCACACAGTGTATGTCTAATGTCCCAATATATTTCCATTTATCTCCTGCTAAATAGTTCTTATACAGAGAACCACATGCCTCTGCAAAATGCCACATGCCTCTGCAAAAGTTTGTGAACATAATGCTTTTTAACTTTAAGCTGTGAATCTTGTTTTATTGTTTTATGCATTGTTGCTACAGATGTATTTAAAGACTTTGCGATTGACTTTTTTTGCCTTTCCGATTTGCACTTAAAAGTTTTAATACCATGCATTTTACAACGATTTTGAATAATGGAATAATATTTTTGTTCGGAAAGCGCAAAAATTATATACTTCAGTCCTGCTTTTTTACATGCAAAATTTTGAAATAAGTATAAATTTAAAAGTAGCATATGATATTTCTCATTTCAAGTAACAAGCTGTTGTTATATTTTTATTCCAAAACACTTACCTCTTTCAAATTCTTCATCGAAATCGTTCTAAAAATGTGTAAACGCGCTCTGTATTTAATTAGGAAACATGTTTAAAACTGTAAAATTCATCAGTTTGTAATTAAATAAATCAAAAAATATAAAAACTTATAAAAAGTACTATTTGTGAAAAATAGTCGTCATGAAAGCCTTCTTTCATTAAAATATCATATTATAATAAACTACAATACTCAACTTTACTAAACGTTATTGTTATATATCCCAGTAGGAAGTTTGGGCTCATTAAAATCCTTTTTTGGCTAGACAGTTTTTTCTTTGGATAAAATTATGTTAAACTTCCTTTTGCTTTATTTCCAGTTTACTAAAGATTCCTTTCTTAAATTTTTTAACTAATTTGATTTATTTTTCTAAGTTAACATTTTCTTTTTAGTGCTTTCTTTTCGAGAAAATTCAGGGACTTAATCTCTCCTATTAATTGAAAATTCTGTTTCTCCCTCCCCTTAACACCACTTTAAGATCCATACAAACTTCATATTACTGAAGAAACTTCTCGCTGTTATCTTGAGAGCTTGAGAAAATAATTATATTTTCCTTATCTTTTTTTCAAAAGATTCATTGTTTCATAATCTGCTCCCTTTTCTTTAATACGTGAACTAAGCGCAATTTTGCACGAGAACGAAGTAATAGCAATGAAAATCGTCACTGAAAATTTTTATAACGTTTAAAGTTTCTTTATATTTTTTCATTCTCTATAATTGATGCGAATAAGCTCGTTGACCGCTTGTTGATTCTCAGAAACCATATTCTCGAAAGAAAAACAAAAATCTAAAAAGTAAATATTTAGTCTTAAGACAGGGCAGGCTTTCAGAGCTGCACATTTTGCAATGTTTTTATGCTGAAAGTAAAATAAAAAAGCTTTACGGCAATCACTACATTCACTACCCATTAAAAAACTAGTCTTTGAATAACTGAAGAAAAAGTAAATAAAAGGGAATGAGAAAAGGAGGCGAGCAACTCTCTTGTCTGCACCAAGGTCAGCCAGTCGACAGATGACCCGATACATCAGCCGCTCGTTAGCAGGGACGAAGACCCGGGGGGGGAGGGAAACTTCGAACAAGGAATGAAAAACGCCATGCTGAGTTTTTATCTTCCTTATCCCCCCTTAGTTGAGAATCTGCGCTGGGCGTAGCTCGATCTTTGGATGCTGTGCTCCAATTGGTTGAAGATAATGGCCTGTTAGTGGCCTCCAGCCAGCAGGGCAAGTAGTCTGCAGCGTCAGGTCAACGTCGAAAGTTGGTTGTTGTCTGCTGCCAGTACTAGTGGCGCCATTATAGAGTTGGCGGTTGAAGTGAGAGCGGAAGATAATACGAAGGTTTGGTAAAAATACATCGCGCGTGTTCTCGACTTGGATGTTGCATTTAGAGATGCTGCTTTAATAAATCAGTACATTTATTGGTCAGCAGCAAGTGTACCAAAATGGCCAGCGCGGCAAATTTGAGCAAATGTTTCATCGTCTCTCTTCTGGTGTGTTGTTTAACGATATCCTGTTCGGATGCATTGGATCGTGTATGTGAACCGATTCGCATAGACACATGCAAGCATTTAGGCTACAATGTAACAGGAATGCCGAATTTCGTTGGTCACGAACTTCAACAAGATGCCGAATTACAATTGCAAACATTTACACCATTAATTCAGTACGGGTGCTCAGCTCGTTTACGTTTTTTCTTGTGTTCGGTGTATTTTCCTATGTGTACTGAAAAAGTACCTGTACCTATTGGACCATGCCGCTCGTTATGTGAAGATGTTCGTGATAATTGTCAACCTGTACTTCAAGAATTTGGATTTCCTTGGCCGACTGGATTGAACTGTTCGAAGTTTCCTCACAAAATAACGACAAGCATATGTGCATGGAAGGACCTGCTGATCCTAAAGGATCTGACGCAAGTCCTAGAAATAGGAATAGAAATAGGCGCCCTAGTATCATAAGGAACCATGATACATTCACAGATCAAATGAAAATTCCTATGAATAGAATGTATTATCAGAATTATGGACTATGTAAACATTTTTTCTCCGAGTATTATTATTACATTAATCGTACTCAAAGGTGTGCTGCTTTGTGTTCAGCTGATATCAACTTCAGTCCAGATAACAAAATTTTTGCTGATTATTGGCTTGGCATTTGGTCTTGCACATGTTTTATCACTACATTATTTACAATAATTGTTATACTGTTTGATGAATCTCGTGTCCAGTATCCTGAAGGAGCAATTGTTTTTATTAGTGTTTGCTACAATGCCTGCTCAGTCGCATACTTGGTCCGCCTATTAGCTGGCCGTTACGAATCATCCTGCCACATGGATACTCAACATGATGCTGCCATTCTTATACAGGAAGGTTTGGATAATGTAAATTGTACTGTCATATTTGTCATGCTTTTCTTCTTCAGTATGGCTGCAGCTGGATGGTGGGTAATTCTTTGTGTTACATGGTATTTATCTGTATCCTTAAAGTGGAGGCCAGATGTTATTGATCGCTACAGTACATATTATCATCTTTTCGCATGGACCGTACCCTCTTCATTGACAATAGTTGCTCTTGTTACCAGAGTTATTGATGCTGATGAACTTATTGGTAGTTGTTATGTTGGTAACCAAAGTACCCAAAACCTTCTTTTTTATGTTATTGTGCCATCTTCTGCATACTTGCTCATAGGTGTAGTGTTTTTGTCCTTGGGATTGCTTCCAAACAAGTGTCATGCCAAAGAATATTCTCATGTTGTTCCACCAACCATCTCTCCACCAGTTTCTGAAAAAGTGGCTGGTTTATCAGTACGCATATGTATATTTGCTGTGTTGTACGTTGTTCCTGCACTATGTGTGTTAGGATCTGATGTATATGAATATATGAATCGTGACAGTTGGATTGCTGCTGGGTCTTCTGCACGACCCAATGTAGAAATTTTTACTCTGAAAATATTTATGTCTCAAATAATGGGCTTTACTACTAGTTTGTGGACATGGTCCAGTAAAGGACCTAGACGAACTTGGAAAAAACTCGTTCGCACGTTTACCAGACGAAAACAACCTGTGCCATCATATCTTCATGTGCGACCTCAGGTTTTAGTAATGGCAGAAAAATCTAAGAGATCTTTGAGCAAAGCAAACAGTGAAACGGTTGTATAAGCTCACTTCATATAAAGTTATTCATACCAAAGTAATCTCAGAAGAAGATTGTTTTCTCATTTTGTAAAACAGTCTGGATATTATTCTTTACTGTATATGACTGATGTAAACATGGTGTACATATGTAATTGTAAATAAACTCGCACAGTATGAATTTCATGCTGTGATGTATGTAAATATGCATTATTTGGAACAAGTGATAAAAGGGAATACTTAAAGTGATTTCAGCAACTGAATCCTTAATTTGCAAGGACATATTTTTAATTAGCATTTTCTGATTCAGGCATGAATTCATTGTAGCTTTTCAAGTCCCACTCATTGCCACAAAATATTTTCATAATTTGACTTTATGTAAATGCTGATATATATTTAACTAGTTATGGGGTGAAAATCAAAAATTATTTTTAGGAGCTAAAATGATTAATTTTGAAATTATTTATAGAAAAATTGATAAAACATACTTAGTTTTGATATGTTGTTTTGAAACTGTCCTGCAGAAGAATGTTTTTGTCCTCTTATAGAGCATTGATGACAGACTGATATTTCTTGTGCAGGTGCAAGTCAAGATTTTAATCAGTTTGTTAAAGCATGCAACTGTAGTCTTCAGATTGTGAGTATCAAAATATACTATTTGTGAATTTATTTGTTGTATGTAATATTAAGGAATTTCCTCAGTTATTCTAAGTCTGTAGCTGCATATTTACGTTAGATTTGTAAGGCAAAATTTATTTATTCTTATTTTTTCCTCTTTTATAAAGATATATAGTGATCAAATTATTAAGTAGGTCATATTTTTGAAATTCTGTTTAGCAATAAGCAGTTAGGCTCTAAATCTCAATTCAGTGTAACAATATTCAAAGTTTTAAGTGCATTTGTTGAACAAAACTGTATTTTCGAAATAGCTTTTAGACAACATGCATTACCTTTTAAAAAGAAATGAAATTATTTGCTTGAAGACAAAAGATTAAGTTTTTAAAATCTGTCATCATGTAAATGTCTGCTTGGTTAAAATGCTTCTAAATATTGGTTATTTTGTTTTAATGGGCATAATTTTGATAGATAGTGAATTTTAGAATTTTAAAAAATTATGATGCATGTTTGTTTTTTAAATGTGTACTTTTTATTATTATTTTAACAAGAAGTTACTACTGATAATATTTTTTTATCATATAAAATGAATAGAGATATATCTTTATTATTAGCACTTGGAGACTTTTAAACAAATTTTATTTCTTTTGGAACAACAAAACTAAATGCTGTCTAATCTATTTATAAATCTTATGAACTCTCCGTCCTATGATGGCTAACTGTTTGGAAATATTATATGAGCTTTTTTTGTACCATTTGTCACGAAGTGCATAATTTATTTTTTTAGAAATATTAACATACCGGTTTGTGAGTTTCGTGTTTAGATTTTAAAATAATATCTTATAAATGTAATTAAAAATAATTTGAATTGTCTTTATTTTGATGTAAATATTGAGAAATAGGAGACCAGAAAACTTTTTAATACTATTTGTAAGGTGTTCTAAGTTTATTAGCAATTAATTGCATGTGCAAGAGAACTGTGGTTATTTATTCTAATTTCTGTTAGTTTCGTGTAAATAATTATTTTATATTTAAGTGACAGTTAATTGCAATTTTATTTTTTATTTATTTTTTTTTTTTTTTTCATTGCAGTAAAACCTTGACTAAATAAATGTTTTGATAAATTGAACAAAGTGCTTTCCACCCTTGAATTATACTAAAAATTTAATTTAACTTTTTGAAAAGTGGAATTTTTTTAATTCATTTGGTAAATCAGAATTATTTTCTTTGAATTTTGTTCTCAATAAACACAAAGATTATCTTCAAAACATTTTTTGGTAAAAGTTTACAATTGGGTGCGCTTTGTTTTTTGACGTCAGGAAGGCACAATTTCGAGATGGCCGCTATACAAAACCAAAATAAAAAGTCAAAGAATTGCACAAACTCTTGTGTCCATATACACTTTGATCTGTTTTCACTTAAAAAAATGGAACTACTTTTACATGCGCCCTCGGGTCGCCAAACATTTTTGGCGAGAAACTCCACGGTGCCATATTGCTATCTAAATTTTTTGTCCACATTAACTTTAAGCCTAAAATATCTCCCAAAACGTGGTTTTCGCACATGCAAAAAACACGTTTTAACTCACAATTTAAGCTAAAAAATCCTAAGCAAAATTTAGATAACAATAACGTAAAGTTTCTAACCAAAAATATTTTAGAAGAATCCAGGTATACAACGATATGTTTTAACTTAAAAAAACATTACAAATTGCACAATCTAGGCAACGAACGAATCTATGAACTACCCACACCTCGTTTTAATAAATTAACATAATAATAAATTTCAAAGAATCCCCATTTTACACAGCATCCTGTTTAAACTTTAAAATAATCTACGAATTGCGCACAAATCAACAAAATAAACTAAAATTACAAACAATTTAAAAAACAATAAAAATGGAAATTCATAATAAAAAAACTGAACATAACATTCTACAAGATAAAAGCAGTAAAATAAAATGCACTTACCATAATATATTCATTAATAAAATTTCGCCGGTCACACAGTCTGTGAACAAAAGTGCCACGATTTTACTATATCACATCTCTTTTTGCGATTCAAAATTTCGAAACTTTACTACACGAAAACCACAATCCAAATCTTAAACTCTGCTGACAGCCACATATTTTACCAGCAAGCATTTAACTGCAAATCCACACAATAACTATCAGAAACGCCCTTCTTCGTCCTATTTCTCATAGCAGCTCTTCATTTCGGACTCCGTTTTAAAAGTCCTACAAAAATTCCAAAAATACTCTTCAATCCTAATAAACACACCCGTGAGCAAAAGACTCATTAACAACTCCAACATCATACCTTTTAATACTAAATTTACTTTCCACACAATCTAAAATACACAACTGAAATCTTGCCACCACGTCTCTCATTGCAACATAGGCCATGTCAAAACGCGCATGACAGGAACCAACAAGCAATTAAACTACTGCAGCAAAAGAGTTAAATTTCAACGTCAAAAGGGTTGCCATACAAACGGCATCATCCCCAAAACCACCGATCGAGCCAAAAACCAGCGCAGAACATATATCGTCACATTTGGTGATCTTAGGGCAAATATAAGAGTAGAGCCAAAAAAAATCCCAGAATTGCACAAACTAGGCATTGTTTACTGCCTTAAATTTGTTCATGTACACATCAATCTATTTTCATTTAAAAAAAAAATCAGGAAGCTAAAACAAAGTTAAAACTATCATGGTAACCAGAAATGAGGTTTCATTGCCAAAATTTTTTAAAAATTTATCGTTAATCGAAGGGCCATCCAATTTGACACTAGAGCCCATTTTTTAGACTACTTGAATGTATTATCTGTAATTATGTAGGTCATTTACTCATAAATTTCAAAACTGCATTTATAATGTCTGTTTATTAGAACAGTGCCAGCTATGTTTTTATTTTAAATAAAATGAAACAGAACTCCTCCACAGTTTCATTCTATGTTTAAAAAACTATATTTTGTTTTACAAAATCTGAAATTAATAGGTAATTTTTTTTTCTTTTACATTTAAACTGAACTACTTCATACTGAAAGAGAACTATCAAGTGCAAATGACACATTTTGCTAACCTTCATTGCTGTTAAAACTTATTTCCTTATAAATATTCGGTTTTTAGATCATCATTGCTTTTATGTAGCACTTTGCAAATGTAAATAACATAAAAACATTTTTTTAAATAATTCTTTGATATTCCGTATGTGTAAAAACAATATTCCATTACTAAATGCACCTGTTATTGTTTTGCCTTGCTTAGTTAAAAATATTTATAATTGCATCTGGTGTGAAATATTTTTAGGCATTAAGCTGAAATTCTTGAGTTTTTTTCCCTCTCCTTATCTCATCTTCATCAGTTTTCATTTTCTAAAACTGTTGAATTGTGCTGTTAATATTTAAATGGTGGGAATGATATAAATTGTATATGTATATGTAGATAATATTCTTTTGTATGTAATACCTCATTATTGTGTAAAAGTTCCTATTTTAGAGTTTTTAATAATTAACAGTGTTGCTTGTATCCAAATTAATTTTTTTTTTTTTTGCCAGTTAATTTTTAATATTATGCTTTTCATTCTGATTGTCCATTTGCAATATTGTTAAGTGAATATAAATGAGGAAACATTGTGGCAAAGCAAATATTGGTGAGGCAGAATATACCAAGGGAAATTGCCTTATATTTATACTACACATTGAGAAAAGGAATCAGCTCGTTTTATAGAACCCAGGGCTTCCTACCAGTGTTTTGTCGCTTTAGGCAGTCGGTTAATTGGGGGAAAGTGCAGAATCACCGACTGCTTCGCTCATTTCTCAAAATCGCCAATTTGAAAATAACGAGTAAAAGAATTGAACAAGCTCGGTATCCATGTATACATTGATCTATTTTAATTTTAAAAAGCATCAGAGAATTGCACAAACTTGGCATTGCACACTCTCTTGACTTCGGCCATGTACACATCGATGTGCGCGATTTTGCATTAACTTGAAAATAACAAGTCAAAGAATTGCACAAACTCGGTATCCATGTACACATCCACTTATTTTCACTTAAAAAATAATCAGAGAATTGCACAAACTTGGCATTGTGCACACCCTTGACATTGCCCATGTACACATCGATATGCGCCATATAAGTGGGTGATAATGCACTTTAGCCATTACAGTTTGTTCAGTAAAAAATAATTACGTGAAGTCTCCAATGTTCTGGTTTTAATTTGTCTGAATTTAGGTGATGTCTTTGAAATGCAGATTAAAAATAAATGCTGTAATGAAAAGTTTAATGATATTTTTATTAAAAAGCTCTATAGCAACAGCAACATTAGCATGTCTTAAATGAAACTTAAAATTCCATTCTTGCCTTGGAGATTTTCAGCAAATAATCAAATGTTGACATGAAGGAAAAGCGTATAGAGAAAGTCTAGTTTTATTGTACCATTTAATATAATTTTTTATTAAAGTCCAGACTGTATTCAATTAATTATGGATATGATACAAAGAAAGAGAACTAACTGTATGCTGTAACCTAACTATTAAAGTGTCCGAATGTGCAGTGAATA